GAGGGCGCGGGCGGTAAGAATGGAAATAAAACGTGGCCGTTTCCACCAGTTTGCCTGCTGCAGTTTCTTTCATGATTCAAGAGAATGCAAAGGATTTGGAGGAAGCTCCCAGACCACCAGTTTGGAATTTTACCTCCCTTCTAGGATATCAATGGATGCTTTGTCAACCAGCAAGAAGGTGTGGCTATGAAAGAAGATTTTTATGTCTTTGAGGCAGAACCTTCCCAGAGAAAATCTATCACTGATAGAGCTGGAGGGCTCAGAGCAGGGCCTGAATTAGGACCAGTTGGCCTCACCGAATGAGCATTGTACATTCCGGATCTCTCTCCTTTTCAAACTTTACAGGTCCTTACCAGATAGATAGTTATCAGTCCTCAGCTTCTCTAAGCCAAGACTGAGTTGAAAAACAGATGTCCAAAGTATCATGTTTTTTTTTTTTTCAACATCCAGTCTTTGTTTAGATTTAATATTGCTGCCAGAAGTGCATGCTCATTAGATTAAAACCAGGAATTTGGCCAGTCTGATAGGAAGAGAAAAATGTAAAATTCTCATTACCTTCCTTCACAAATATCCATCTTCAGTTGTAAGAAATACAAGTGCCTATGAAACAATTATTTTCATTAATTCACATGCAACTAAAATAAGCAAAAAAAAAAATCATTCTTTTTTTTTTTTTTTGATGAGTGAAGGATAAGACCTGTATATCTGAAAAGCAAAATACACAAAATACAATTTTACATATTTTAAGTGGTATCAGACACTATCTTGTACTCAGGGCTACCCCATCAAGACGGCTTATGTTGATACGCTAAGTCTCCACAGGCTGGGGCAGTTTTCAACCAGTGCCGGCTGAGCAGGAATGGAAGAGTGGAAGTCGCCTGCCTACAATCTTTGATGCTGCTGGCACTGCTGCTGCTGGTGGGCAGCCCTGGCCTGAGCCTGGGCCTTCCTAGTCAGGCGCTGGGGCCCACAAGCACACCGCACAAGCAGCCCACACACAGCCAGGACACTGTTCTGAACACTATGCCAATGTTCACACACCCACACTCCCTCTGCAGGAAGCTGCTCGGAGGAGGACGAGGGTCTGTGAAGATACCTCCTCGGCTGGGTTTTTCCCCTGTGTCCCAGGAACTGTGGGTGCTGGAATGAAAGCATAACTATCAGGACACCAGAAGTTGCTGGGATGTCCAAGACGTATGCTGCACTGGCCTGTGAATGACCAGTGGGTGCCAATCCAAAGCCTTGGGCCTGGTTTGTAAGCCACTCATTAGAGGCCCAGGCTGTGAGGCTCCAGTGTGGCCCTGAGACAGATGGAAAAAAGGAGGCCACCACCAACTCTGCACACTCTAAAATGTCTGCAGACATTTATACTTAGAGACGCTTGGCTGCTAGCTCCTGCTCTTTTAAAACCCAGATTCAAATAGAATAGATATTCCACAGTCTGGGCAGAAGGACAAAAGGGAAACCTCTTGAAATTTAATACAGACATGGCAAAAGTACACAGGGCAGGACAGAGGTCATTTCAGTAATTTAAACAAATCACTGTCGTATCGTCTCAGATTGAAAAAGGTCAAGAGGCTGGCTTTTTGAGATGTGACACTTTCAACAGTATTCCAACATTACAAATGCAGCTCTCTGGACCATGCACCTGGTACTCTGTAGTTTCTCCTGCTTTTAGCCTCCTAATGACAGTGTTATCAGCACCACCATCTCTTTTTGTGACAGATAAAAAAACTGATGCTCCAGATATGCAGGGTCAGCTATGTCTTATTTTTACCTAGATATTTATGAGAAAAATCTCAGTAGGCTACAATTTATTACACATTTAATGACTAAAATATTTAGGGCACGTGTCTTAACTCTGATACTAATACTTCAATTACAATTAACAACTACATGTATTTATACGGAGAGATGACATTGCATATGTGTGTTGATTCATGGCATTTGGTGCTGCAATCTCTTTTCCACCTAAGAGAACATAATCTGTCCTTTCTAGTTTGTTTCTATGTTTATCCAAGTTGACATTCAACTAGAATTAAGTGTTCTCTCCCGCTACAATACTACTGAGAGAAAGAAGAGAGGAGAGAGTTACAGATAATCCGCTGGTAAACCTGGGCTTTCACTGAAGAGCCCAACTAGCCAGTGTATTTTCCTAGGGACATAAAGGAGAACCAGAACCCAGAGATTAGCATTCACCACAGGCCACCTTGTCGTACACTGGGGGGAGGTTCTGAGTCAACCCTAGGAAATCACATGTAAAGAAATCAGAACTGTGGAATGTCACTGGAACATAGAAGACTTAGTAGGTATCTTGAAGGAGCTTAAATTTTAATTAGACTGCCAGTAAATAAAATTCTGTTTAGAATGATCTAAATTTATCAGAAACAGCAGTTGTGGAGGCTTGTAACAAAAAAGATATTCAACAACTGGGATAAAGAGAAGTTATGTACAAATCTGGAATGCCTAGCTAGAGAAATGTAATGACCTCTTGGAGCATACCCCACCTATGACCTTAAATTCAGGAAATAAGCAATGAACATCTCTTTGCCTAGATCCTTTTAAAACCAACAAATATTACTTCTGTACTCCTCTAACTCTTAGGAACCAAATTCCCTTAAAAACAGAGTTCATGATTGGACAGGCTGCAAAGTCAGAGCCTAATAAGATACCATGTGCCAGGAATACAGGAAAAATTCCTCACATAAAAAAGTCAGATGAGAGAATCTGTAATCGCAGCCTGTAATCCTAACCCTGGGGGCTGAGGCAGAAGGACCACAAATTCCAGCCCAGCACGGGCAATTTAGAGAGATCTTGTCTCCAAAAAAATAAAACAAAGGTGCTGGGTCTAATCCCCTGTACTGGAAAAACAAATCCCTACACACACAAAAATGTGCACTAAAGGTAGACTTCTACCCTAGCATTAGAAAAAGTTGGGGGGGGGGGATAGACACAGGACACTGCCCACATTAGCAAGGAAACAGGTGCTGGCTCTGAACCAGTTAATTCTAAGAAAGACAATAGGCACAGTGGTGCCTGTGTAATCCCAGTACTCTGGGAGGGTGTGTCAGGAGCAACACAGGTTCAAGGCTATCTTCAAAAACTTAGTGACCGGGCTGGAGAGATGGCTCAGTGGTCTAAAGCACCTACTTAGAACAAGCTTAGCAAAAGCATCAGGGACCGCGGTTCAATCCCCCAGCACCACATGCCAG